ATCTATTAACAAGCATAGTAGCCACAATTTTATAATTAGTTTGACAAAGGCTAATGGGCCTATAATTCGTTGGAGACAAAGGGTTCTTTAATTTAGGAATTAAGACAATCAATGTGTCCTTCCATTCCTTATTCATATGGCTGGAATTAAAAAAATTCCTTACTGCATTCCAAAGAGTTTCTCATATAATATTCCATAAAAAATAAAAAAAAAATTCCAATAGCTTTTATAGAATGAAGAGGTAACGCCATCCACACCAGGAGATTTATTGTTTCCTTGACCACAATCTGTAATTCATTTTCAGTAAACTCAGCATTTAACAACTCCATGTCTTCGGCATTTAACTTCTGATTCTCCATAATAGAAGGCCATCCCGTGACTTCACATTCCCTATATTCCCATTTCTTCTCAAAGAATTTTGTGAAGACTTTCTCGATTTGATCCTCCTCCACTTGCAACTTATTTGCTTCATCTTTGACTTGAAAAATATGATTCCCATTCCTTCTAGCTGTTGCAATGTTATGAAAAAGCTTAGAATTTGTATTGCCTTCCTCATGCCACCTAGCCTTAGCCCTTTGATTCCACCAAGTTGAAAGTCTTCTCATAGTGATATTGAGTTGATTAACCTTATTTCTAAGTTCAAACAGGTCATCAACAGACCAATTACTACTCAATGCTTCTTTGTTTTGCAAATCAAGGATCTCTTTCTTCAGTTTATCCTTTAACGCATTCAAATCCTTGCATTTATTTCTTCTCCTGAAAAATAAGGATTTCAAAGTACGATTAAGCTTCTTTTGTAAGACTTCATACTCATTACAATCATCATGCTTCTTCAAGGAGTGATAAACTATGCTCTTAGCCGCCGGATAAGATCTCCATGTATCTTCAAATTTGATTGTTCTCAGCTTAAGCCGTATTCCATCATCCATCTTGATCACAATTGGACAGTGATCAGACGCCATCCTTGCCAAATGTCTATTCACTACCAAAGGAAGTTTTTGCATAGCCAAAGAATTCAAAATACATCTGTCTAACCTTTCCCATATCCGAGAATTACCTTCTTTGTTTATGTTGACAAAATCACTATAAATTATTGTTATTTATTTTGATTATTCTTTACACTTTACTTTATACAATTATGTGTGTGGTTGAAAATTTTATTTTATTTTGTTGTTGTGAAATTTACTTATTTCGTATCTGCAGTATTGATTATTGTTTGTGGGTTTGAAAAGTTTTTTAAAGAATTTTTTTTTTCACTAAATAATTTTTTTGAAAATATCTAATTCACCCCCATCTTGGTTAACCTCAGGCTAGTACTTAAAGGTTAATAACCTTTACGAACTTTCAATTGAGACACTTGGGAGAGCAACATTGTGATCCTAAATCACATAGCACTATGGCGGTCAATTAAATTTGTGCTAAATTCTTATTTATTAAATTTAGATAATAACTTTAATTATCAAAATAAAATAAAATACAAAACATATCAAGAACAATGACATATGCAACATTGGCTCATGTAAATTCAAACAATTAATATGACACACTAAACATAAATTTGGGCTGCCTCCCATACAATACTAAGTTTATAATTTTCAGCCAGACTTTCCAAGATTTATTAATTTAGTTGGGGCACATTTCTACCATTATTTAAATGTGCATAGATGATTAGCAACAAGTGATTTTATATAGTGATTTTATACTTCCAAACATATTGCTTTGATTAAATTCTGTAATATATGCAGGTCTAAGATTAATAACAGGTTGTTGAGGATTATTCAAATTTACTCCTTAAATTCTTTTGACTGGAATTCTATTGATTATTATTAGTAATATTATTTGACAAATTAATATTATATGGTTTCCTCAAACCTAGATTATATGTATTGGAGTAGGGATTATTTTATTTTTCAATCAAATTAATATTTTCAATCTCTTGCACATTAATATTTTCAATTAAATTTTAATTCTCCAATTACATAGATGATTCATTTTCCAATCTAGAATTCACTCTTATTGTGCTCAACTTTTTAAAAATTGCTGCAACTTATGCAATCAATATTGACAAAGCTTCAAATTCATAAATTCCTACAACTCTCTTAGAATTTACCTTATCTGTAGGCCATTGGAAATTTCTTGTAGTAATTTTCTCTATTAATTCATATCTTCATGAAATGTCTTAGACACTAATGATTCTCCAGCTATAACATCTATGATCGCTCTAAGAGACCCTACTAACCTATTATAAAATATTTGAATAACTAACCAATCAGGTAAAGTATGATGAGGGTATTTCATAAGAATTTTTAAAATCACTCCCAACTCTCATTAATTAATTCTCTTTCAAACTGGTCAAAAGATGTGATATCATTTCTAAGTTTAACAGTCTTTAAAGGTGGATAATACTTAGTACTTTTTAGAGAAAGTAAAAATAATCTAAGTCCAATAACATCATCATTGGCACCATTGTACTTAAATATTGTACAAATTTCTAAAAAATAGCTAAGTGTAAATTGTGATTTTTAATACGAGTTTCTCTAAACTGAGAATTTTGAATTGTTTAAGGTATGGTAAGTTTTAATTCAAAATTATTAGCTTGGATTATAGGTTTTTTAATGCTTAGATGAACATCCTCTACTAAAGGGTTAGCATAATCCCTAAGAGATCTAGAATGATCTCGATCTAATACATGTTCAGTAAATTTCATGATCTTTTTTGTTTTCAATTTTTTTGAAAGGGTTCTTTCTATTTTGGAGTCAAATAATAATGGTTTATTTTTATGTCTATAATGCATGCAACCATGAATATACAATCAACAAATAAAATAAAAGATACAAGTAAGTTTACTCATGTAATTAATTCATAAATGTAATTAAAATTATAAAAAAGAAAAATACTTCCATAACAAAGGCACCAAAAACTTGATGGGCACTATCGAGTGAACTTTTGAATTGTATAAAATTCTAAATTTTCTTTGAAATTAAAAAAAAATAATAATAAAACATCTCTTAATATGCACATGTATATGTCTCAAATCAAGTAATAAAATGATAGAGTTGAGTGTCGAACTCACAAGAAAATATATTTAGTTCCAACAAACTACTACTATTTACTCTAATTATAATAATTATTACACTGAAATAAAAATGATATTTATGGAGATTTTATCACTAAATAAAATAGTAAAAATATTATATAAAATTTTAAATAAAAGTGTTTTGGATTATGAGTGTAAATTTTATATCATTCCTAATGGGAACATAATTATATATTTGATTTAAAGTATACACATCCCTAGATCTCTATCGAGCTTGTAGGGATGTAAATGATATCTGTTGTGTTAAGATAGTTGCTATTTGCATGCATTACATT